GAGATCACTTAGAGATTAAAAAGTTTAATATTGCAAATTCTTTATGTATCTGAATATAAGAAACAAGTTTTATTATGTAAAACTTATGTCTTATTAAGTAATACTACATTTAAGAAATCCTACTTGGAGAAACAGTCGAATCCAGCTAAAAGGCATCTTTTAGGTTGCAGTGTACTATTTCTTTTCCTTATTTCTTTTATTTCTTTTCCAGACCCAAATAATAATAGAAAAGACTATGTATTCAAAGAAAACTATATACTATTTAGAACACTTTTATGCTTCTACCATATAAAATATCACTATTTTTAGACGTTTATAATTGCTTAGACACTGATATACTTCGTAAATAGTTCCTGTGATAATACGGGGTATTATAATAATTTAAAGTAAGCATAAAGTTCTTGTTATACGAAATTTTTTTTTTTTTTTTTTTTTTTTTGACAACCACATATGTCGACTAAAACCTTCACAACATCATTTTTATCATCCATTTCAGAGGCTGTTTTAGTAAAAACAAAAAAAATTTAATTTGGCTAGAAGTTTTGGCGTCAATTTTAGAATGAAGCGTGTAAAGAGTCACTGAAAAATTCTTTCCTATTGAAAACTGTTACAAATTCTTCCAAATTTTTACAACAAACGTTTTTCTTGCAATTACACATCCTTATGTTATACACATGTGAACATGAGATACATGTGTCTTGTGGAGTATTTATGTAAACTGAAATGGTGTGGAAATAAAAATAAATAGCTTAAATGGTTTTTGCAGCTTAGACAAAGTGTTAACAAGAATGCCAAATAACGTGTTGTTGACTTAAAATTTGTAATTTGTATGGAAAAGCATATAAATTACAACAACAACAACAACAACAACAACAACAACACGAGTTATAACAACATATAGATAAGTGGTAAAGTAGTTCTAGCCAAGTTTGTTATGTATCTGAATAAATGTGACCAAGAATACATTTAGAGAATTTAAAGAATTGACATATGAAATTCAAACTTCACATACTCATACACATTGGTTTACTTATGAAGAGGAAGAAGAAGTGGCAGAAGAAGCATCGCATAATCATAAACTTTTGGCTAAGTAAGAAACCAGAAATGCTTTGCTTTTGCCTTAGTTAGCTATTTGGCATATTGAATTAATGGAGTTATTTGTAGAAAACTGAAGCAGGAAAGTGTGAAGCCAGAGCCTATCTAAGTGCTAACATCGCAAGGATTTACGATGGTTGGCATCATATTTTTAATGTCAGCTTAAAATTTTCCACAAAGTTTACTTATTAAACAAGTATAGCAAAAACATACGACACACAATATACAACATACAACATATAACGTACAATATGGAATATGGAATATTTTTGTAGGAACACAGTTCAATATTGTAAGAGAAATGGCATACATAAATGTGTGTGCATATAGAATACTCGTATATTTTTTTATAAAACCACCTCATCAATATGTCTGCCATGCGTAAATCCTGCCCGGAACATAAATCTCTGTCAGCAGCACAATTTTTACTTGCTCCATGTTAGTTATTAAGTTTTTACAGCGCATATTACGAGTGTGTTTGTTTCAGAGTCAGTTCTCAACAACTTTAATCTAACTTCTAACATTGCAATGTCAAACAAAAAAATTAAATTTGTTTTTCCCCATTTCTGTTTTTTTATTTTTTTTCAATTTTTTTCCTTTTATTCGGTTTATATGCGGATATGTCTTTTAATGCAGCTACAGTACATTTTTATTAAAGACTGCACAAAAATAAAAGCTAATGTTCGCTCGTATTGTGGAGAGTCATGGGTTGGGGAAAAATGAATAAAACTGTCAAAGTAGGAAGCTTAGAAAATGCCAACTACTGAAGCATTGAAGTGCGGACAAGTTGTTATCCCTTGCGAAGGGACGTGAAGATATACTCCATCAGTACTGACTAAAGCACAGCACTAATCTGTGATTTTAATATTTGAAAACTGCAGGTATTTCAAAAATAAATTTAAAAGCTGCATAGGTTATGAGAGTACCAGTCAGTTGTTTTAAATGAAGCATAATCAACTCAACGCTACGGTATCGGTACTGACAGGTCACTGCGGATTAGGGGACATGTAATGAGACTTCATCTAACCCGTACTTTAACTAAAGCGTAACCAACTCAACACTACAGTATTGGTATTGACAGGTTACTGCGTATTAGGGAGACATGTAATGAGACTTTGTACCCCCTTTGCCTTAACTAAAGCGGCACCATTTAAACACTAGTGTATTGTCAGGTCATTACGTATAATGGATGCATGAAATCACACCACATGGTTTGCTTTACATATCTGCCTGCCTACCCCCACCTCAAAATAAGAGAAAAGTGTGTGAATCCTTTTGCTCAAGAAGTGTCCGGATCTTGTTGTTTGTTAACTACTCCTTAAGTAATAGACTTTTTTCAAAAATTTTTTTTTGTTATGTTGGTACACCCTTTCTTGACAAATAGTACAAATTTGAGCGCCATCTGTCAATTAGCTTGTTTACAGCAGCTGTTAATGTGAGACTACCTCAAGTGCATGTAGCGATTTTTACTATGGAAAATTCTTGTTGTACGCGATTTTTTGACAAAACACGGCACCACTATCATCGCTCAGGCTCCATATTCGCTAGATCTGGCGCCGTGCGGTTTTTTCTTGTTCCCGAAACTCAAATTACCCCTTCGTGGTAAGAGTCGATTGAATCAGTAAAAGAGAATTCGCCGAAGGAACTAAAAGTCATACCTGCAAAAGATTGGGTTAAGCATTGGCATATGTGTATCGCTTCAGAAGGAGCATATTTTGAAGGAGATAAAATAAATTTGGAATAAAATTTAAATTTGTGTTTTATTTACAAAATCCGGGTTCTTTTTAAACAGAAAGTATGTTTTCTCTCAATGTCGTCTTTGGATCTGTCGCCAAAAAATGATCTTAAATAACTTCTGTTCCAATGCTACCGAGATATATATTTTTCATGATTGAGAAATTGGCAATCAATGAATTTACAAATTAAGTTTCGGGTGGAAAATTATGAACACACCACATCATTTTTCGTCTAGTTAAAAATGCCACCTGTATAAGTAGTAGTAGTAGTAGTAGTCATAAAGAGTACCGATTATAAAGTGAACATAAAACAGAGAGATTACGAATAGTAGTGAATTGCACCAACAAAATTATTTTTTAATTTAATTAATTAAATTAATAAATTAATTTTAGCTGACCGTACAGTTGTTTCGAGTATTGCCAAATACTCACCATCAGTGGTCCATGATATATTTCATATATTTAATTATTCGTAAATAATTTTTTGAGACTGCAAGTATCGAGGATTGAACTCGTACCCTGCCAAATTCGAAGCTTGGAGCCACTGTTTATTAAACAATTGACCAAAAGCTACACTTGATTTGTATGTTCGAACGAAACATTAAATATAATAAATTATTCCAACACCACTGATGATGGGTATGGCAATACTTAAACAGCTGTATGGTCAGTCAAATATTTAATTAATTAATTAAAA